CGCTAAATCACTGGACACTAAGTACAATATACAATCGGGCACTCGGCCGTAACAACTGAGTCCGACTCAACACTTCTACTCCCTATAGAAGCTAGCTCATGAGCAACACGGTTACATTGGCGTGGTACATACCTAACATGAAAATTTACAAAAATTTCTACTATAATCTCCTTCAGGTTATGCACCAAGCCGCCAACCAGGGACAATCTAAATTCATCACCTTGCACTGCCCAAACCACTTGCTTGGCATCGGTTTCTAAGCACACATCATGCAAGCCCAAAGACACAGCTGCTTTCACCCCTTCCAAACACGCCAGGACTTCCATCTGCAAAGGGCTATACGTGCAAAACGCAGCCGCCCTGAAGCTGACTGAAGCACGCCACCATTATCATCACGAATAACATATCCCCATCCACCATTCTTGTCATTCTCTCTGAACGCTCCATCCGCATTAATCTTCAGAGTATCAGCAAAAGGACGCTCCTAGGTCCTTGATCGGCCATGGGCGCTCGAGCTTGCAGGAGCTGGTGAACTGAGGTTCATGATCTCCGTGGCTTGCTTCCCACTTAAGCTTGCTAGCACCTCTGATAATCGCCGTTGATTCCCTCCCCTCACGGAATTTCTTTCGTGCCAAGCATTGTTTAACAGAAGGCTGGCCTTCAGCTAGACCCCATCGTCCTTGGATAAAATAGTGCTGACAACCTCCTTTGCATCATGGCAATTGGTCAGTTGTACTCTTAGGTCCTCTACTAGTCCTGCACACCTCCAAACAACCTTCACATGTTTGCATCTCAAAAAAACATGGCCCCCATCCTCCCAAGCATAATTGCACAAGAGACATCTTGGATCAATCTTCATACCCCTTCCGCTGAGATTTGAGCGGAGAACCAAAGAATTATGTGCCAATCTCCACATAAAATACTTTAATCTGTTAGGTCCTTCCATATTCCAAATCATTGACCAGATTTTCTCTCTATTCCCCCCTGCGCCTGAACTTGACTTACCAGGAGCTGTTCTGCTGCTCCGATAATTATCATCACAAAGAACTCTACACGCCGACTTCACCGAGAAAATGCCCTTTGAATCAAAATGCCAAGAGATAATGTCCTCCATATCCATATGCACGGGAATGGCCAATATCTTGGGTACATCATCTTGCCAGAAAATACTCTCCACTGGCTTCTTATCCCATGTACCCGTCGAAGGGTCGATCAAGTCGGCCACCCTGGGCAGGATAGTGCCCCTCCTCGCTCCTCGGTGTGATCGGCCTGTGTGTAATCCCGTACGACAGCCACGGGTCCTCCCAGATTCTAATTTTCTCTCCATTGCCCACTCGCCAAATAATGCCCTTCTTCAACGGTTCCATTCCTTTGAGAATACTTCGCCAAGTGTAGGACATACCATCACAAGTAGGGAGACGTAGGACGAAATCCCTAAAAAGGAATATTCTTCCAAGATACTATCCTCAGGCATCCTTCCAAATTGAGGTGCGAGTTCATCTTCTCCCGATGACATATACTAGATCCAGTCCAAAACGCATTTGAATCGATGAAAGAACATCGACAGTTGCATCATCGGGTATAACATAGGTTGTTGATTAATCACATTTAATCTTTAATTTTCTTTTCGCAATCATCGACGATGAGATGACCTAGAGTAACTGGTCTCATTAGGAGTGCCAAACAACACCTTCCCTCTAGCAAATAGTGACCACAGATAGATTGCTTGCAGCGATGACATCGTCGTGGCAATTATTGAAATGATCACAAGGCTCCATAAAAATAAAACAACCGTAGTAAATGAGAGATGGGTCCCATCTCCTCGCCATCGGCGAACTAGGAGGGAAAGAAGAAGAGGGCCCCTAGACAGTGACGTGGAGCAAAGGACACAACGATTGTCTTTTGGTAGGGTGACACAACTCTTTTACCTGTGTAAACTTTGACAAAGATCAAATATTTTATAAAGTCGCATTATTTATCTACGGCATTAGAAAATTTTAAATCCAAACGGACCTAAACCTCTACTACTAGGTCTCAATGATCATATTGATCGATCATAGCTAAACGCACGCATTAAATAATTGAAAAAAATCCATTTTTGGGCCTCTAACTATGGCTGCAGTTTTATTCTAGCCCTCTAACTCGAAAACCAAACATGCGCAATCCCTTAACTCTCAAAACCAGTTAAAATTGGCCCTCGCGCCCATTCGACCGCGGTTTCCACACAGTAAACCCGTCCCGACCCCGCCTATCGGGCTTTTCCCTCTCACCGCCAGGTTGGGACCACCTGTCATCCCCCTCCCTCTCTTCGCGGGCCCCGCCTGTTAGGCCTTTCCCCAACCTCCCGCCGCATCCTTCTCTGTTTGACCGAGCAGCCAGACGTGGCGCGCCTCATTGGGTACGTGACGTGGCCAAGCGCTCCGCATTGGCTGGCTTATATGCCGCGGCCTTTGAATCCTTGCCCGTCATCATCCCTTCGGTAGAAAGCAAACGAAAGAAAGAGGGCGAGAGTGAAGAAGGGAGAAATGGGGAAAGAGAGAGCAGAGGGAGTAAGAGCTCGGTGGCGCAGGACGCCGGCGGTGAGGTGCCGAGGCGGCTGCGCAGGGCGAGGGCGGAGGGAGGCAGGGCACGTGAGGGAAGATGGGAGGAGCAGAGCATAGGTGGGAGAGGGAGATAGCAGAGCAAGCAAGCGGAGAGCGGCCAGAGCAGGGCACCGGGCGGCGGCGCTGTTCGGCGGCGTTGACGGCGCTCTGCCTCAGCGCGGTCTGGCTGGGTGGCCTTGGTGGCGCGAGGTGCCGAGAGGAATGGAGAGGCAAAGGAGGAGAGGCGGAGAGCAGAGGGGAGTGCGCCGGTGAGGGAGCAAGGCCATGACGGTCCTTGTCCGCACGCCGAGAAGAGAAGGAGGGAGCTTGGGAAAAGAAGAGCAAGCCAGAGCCCGAGCTCGATGGGAGCGAGGATGGCGAGCTCGGCAGCCATGGCCGGCTTTTATAGTCGAGGAGCGGCCACAGTACGGCGGTTCGGTGGGGAAAATATATCTGGCAACAACCGGTGGTGAGATGTCGTTCCTATCCTCGCGCGTTCGGGTCGTCGTCCGTCCGGTCATAGAATCGCCGTTGCCGCCACCGTCGCGGCCGCGACATGGCCCGATCTTGGCCGCTCCTGGCGTATATGGCCGGCCAAGCGTTAATCGGGGAGCCGGAGCAGGTAGCCATGGGCACACGCGACGTGGCTGCGTCTTTGCTTATGGCTCTGCGATGAAGCGTATGCAGATGAGCAATGAGCGGGGACCAGCCGGCGGTGAGGAAGGTGGCGCCACTGCTGCTGCCACTTTCACACGCCGCTCGCTGCGTCTGCAGCGAACGCGCGCCGCTACTCCTCCGTCGACCCGCGCTGCCTTTTCCTCGGTGGTTAACTGGTTATGACGTTGGCCACGAACCCCACGCAGCTCGTGGTGAGCCACTGAGCTCTCCCCAATCCCGCCCATGGCGCCGCCGCTTGCGCCGCTACCGGAAGCTCTGGCGACTTCGTCTCCGCACCGCCGAGGCAGCCCACAGCGCTTTACGCCACTCCCCACAGACGACGCAGATGCATGAAATGAGCAATGGACGTCTGTAGGCGGGAGGTTGGGGAAATGCCTGACAAGCGGGGCCCGCGAAGAGAGGGAGGGGATGACAGGTGGTCCCAACCTGGCGGTAAGAGGGAAAGGCCTGACAGGCGAGGTCGGGGCGGGTTTACTGTGCGAAAACCGTGGACGAATGGGCGCGAGGGTCAATTTTAACTGGTTTTGAGAGTTAAGGGACTGCGTGGTGTCTGGTTTTCGAGTTAGAGGGCTAGAATAAAACAGCAGTCATAGTTGGAGGGCTAAAAATAGACTTTTTCCTAAATAATTTATAGGCACTCAAATAGATAACTCACTATATATATATATATATATATATATATATATATATATATATATATATATATATATATATATATATATATATATATGTTGAGTCGTTTGTGAGTAAAAAGCGTATAGATGACTTACCGTTCGTGAATTGTATAAGCCCTTATTAGGAGATTTCCAATAAACTACTCTTTAAATCCAACATTTTCATGGTTGAAATTGAAAGTTTTGATAATGCTGATGATGTGCGCAGCTTCAAAATTTTGACGAACCGACGGAAAGGCCGACAAAGGTCGGTTGGCATGATCCACGAAAAGAGTTGGCCTACTCGGGCCACGTTGTCCTCCACGATTCACGCCCCCACCCACCCCACTCGTGTCCGTGCCGGCCGGCGCCTGCTGCACCTCCTGGGCCTTGTTTAGATTAAAAAAAATTTCAAAACGATAAATAGTAGCACTTTCGTCTTATTTAGTAAATATTATCCAATCGTGGACCAACTAAGCTCAAAAGATTCATCTTGTGATTTTCAATTAAACTGTACAATTAGTTATTTTTTTTACCTACATTTAATGCTCCATGCAAACGGCTAAAAATTAATGTGATAAAGAAAGAATGAAAAAACTTGAAATTTTGAGGGTATCTAAACAAGACCCTGGCCTAACCCAAACGTCAGATCGCATCGTGCTCTGCTTTCCTTTCCCGATCAGACCGCACCAAAAGGCGGCACGTCATTGCTGTCGAGAGAATTCGCAGCCGAGACGGCAAAATCCAGGCCGCCACAGACCCCCTTCCCATCCAGGCTTCCAGTTCCAGCTCCAGCCCCCCCAGTTCTCCGCAGGCCGCCCGCAGCCGGCAGACGCAGACCCGATCAAGCACGCTGCCGTTGCCGGCTGGGCAAGGCAAGCGAAGCGAAGCAAAGCAGCAGCGGCCGCGTGCCGCCCGCGCCCAGTCCCCACGCAGCACGCGATTCGCGCCGCCCCCCTCCTCTAATCTAACCCTAGAGCGCTCCGCCCGCCTCGGCGCCGCTGAATTGCAATCGCAATTCCACCTAGTCCCGAGCCAATCCACGCGACGCTTCCTCTTCCCGGCGCTTCGTCGGGCGGCAATCGCCATGGATCCGCACCCACCCTTCGACCACCTGCACCACCGCCGCGCCGCGCACCCCGGCAACCACTACCTAGACCAGCAGCACCCCGGCCACCACCACCACCACCACCACCACTACTTGGGCGGCGGCGGCGGTGCTGCCCCCGCGCGGTCCAGGTATGACTACGAGTACGACTCCCGCCCGATCCAGTATCCCCCTCCCGACCACCACCACCACCCCCTCCCGCGCGTCCACCAACAGCCCCCGCCGCCGCCCCAGCCGCTGCCCCCGCCGCCACCTCCCCCGCCGCACCACCGCCACGACGCCCCCCACTACGCCCCCCTCCCGCTCCGCCCCACGCCGGAAACCTACTCCCCGCCGCCGTACCACAACCCTCCTCCTCCTCATCAGCCGTACCACCAGCAGCGCCACGTCGGCGGTGGCGACTTCCGCCCCGCCGACGAGATCCGCCGCATCCCCAGCCACCACCCCCACCACCATTACCAGCAGCAGCAGCCGCAGCACCATCACCACCAGCAGCAGCCACAGCACCATCACCACCAGCAGCTGCCGCAGCACCTTCACCAGCAGCCACAGCTCTCCTGGGAGGAGGTTGAGGAGGGGCGCCACTACGCTGCCCACCAACTGAAGCCGCAGCTGTCGTTGGAGGGGGCTGAAGAGGAGCGGCGCTACGCCGCCCGTCAGCTCCAGGTGTCGCTGTCGCCACCCGGTGCACGGAAGAGGTACCGCTGCGTCATGCATGACTCGGGTGACCGGGAGAGCACATCTAGCTCTGGCCCGCCACCCCGACGCCAGAGGCAACAGCCGCACCCTAGTTATTCTCCCCCACCAGATGACAGTTTTGTAGATAGGGCAACTAGTTATTCTTGTTACGGCAGCCACGAAGGCTTTGTGGCGCACAGCGACAGTAATGGAGACAGGAAGATGCCGATGTCCATGTCGACTATGCTGCCTGGCTCGCCGAGGCGAGCCCCACAGAAGATGGCTCCTACGAGATTGTCTGTGTGGCATCGTATTGAGGAGAGTCCCTCACTGTATACACCACCTTCTCCACGCAAGGTGCCAAAGGAGGTGCATATTTCGCCGAGCAAGACCAAAAACTCTGGGTCTGCGTCAAAGGAATTGGCCAGCGTAATTTCTTTGGATTGCAAGGCAAAGAGTTCTGATTGTAAGGGTAGTGATGATAGTGCAGGAATGAAGAAGAATGCAGCAAAGAAAACTGAGAAGGTGCTGTCCTCAGTTATTGTGAAGCCTTCACCAGAAGCCAAGGAAAAAGAAAGAGCTGTTAATAAGGTTACCAAGAAGCCTGACAAGGTTGGTAATAGTATACCAGGTTTCACGAGTGCAGGTGTGAGATCGGCGGCCTTTCCTGGGCCTGGTGTGAAGAAAGTGAAAAAGATAGTCATCAAGAAGATTGTTAGGAAGATCGGTGCCAAAGATAAACAAACTAGTAGTTCGACCGTCTCAGAAAAGGACAGCATTGATGCTAATGTGGATGCCTCTGAGAAAGAAGAAGCTAATGCAAATGCTTCTGAGAAAGAAGAAGGTGAGATCACAACATCATCTTTTGAAAAGGATGCTATCTCTGCACACAATTTGGTCAGTACTGGTGATACAGCTGGAGTTGCTAACAGCGTGGAGGTCCAGAAGGAACAAAATAATGATTTGGTGAATCTGAGTAAGAGCAATGCTGCTTCAACCATTGCATCTACGGATACTCTGGACCCAGCAAGTGCTAGCCGGAGAAAGCATCCTGGAAAAGAAGATTATAAGAGCTTCGTGAATTCAATTGATGGCAATGCATCTCCAGCCATTGAATCTTCTAAAACATTTAATACAAGTGGTGTTGAACATCCCCGAAAAGAAGATGATAGGTGTTTCATCAATTCAAGTGTTAAAAATGCTACCCTTCATTGTGAGAACAATAATTCTCAACAGGAAGAAGAGGGTGAAATTCTGGCTGTTTCAGGTCCAATGAATGTTGGAAGTAATTGCCCAAGGATTCTTGATGCAGTGGAACCACATGATTGTGAAGTGGAAAACATGGAAGACAACAAAGTTCCTGTGGTCATGAGTGGAAATAGTGCTGTTTACGTGAATGGAGCTAAGGATTGTACAACAGAAGTTAGTGGAAGTGAGGATGACAGGAGGGAAGAAGGCCTTTTCCTTCTAAATGATCCCCTTAGAAGTCCTAGTACAGATGATGAAGTTAGCATGACTCCGAGCAAGGATAACCATGAAAAAGAGGGTATGATTCTGATTGGTGCAAGTGAAGTGTGTGCTGCTTCTGTAGGCCAACCTGAGGGAAATCCCAAGATAGCAGAAGCCGCTGTTGCTCATGGTGCACGTAAGGAAGAAGGCAATCTGCTGAACAATCCAGGAGAAAAGGATGTGGCATCTTTTGGATCTTCGGGAACCCTTAATACCACGGAAAAAAGTGTTAATGAGATTACCCAGGAGAAAGAGTGGACAATGCCCATTGAACCAAATGAAGCTACTTCTTTTGCACACCAAAATGTGCAAGCCTTGAGTACATTACAAATTAATGTTAGTGAGAATATCCAGAAGGAGAGCCAAATGCCCATGGATTCAAGTGTTTTTCAAACAATAGAATGCGCCGAAGCTCCTAACACAATAGAAGTTGTTAGTAGTAAGTTTGCTCAGAATGTAGCATGCAAGAGCCCCATGGATTTAAATGGGACGAATGTAGGAACTTCAGATAACTCCATGTACACTCCAGAGTTTGCTGTAGCAGGTGGAACCGAGGATAGAAGCATGCAAGTTGATTTCCACGATGCGAAAGCTGCTTTAAGTAAGCCGGATCTTCCCCTGGAAGTAGTGGATACAGATACCCATGCTCTGCAGTCATCCAGAGATACAGAGAGCACAATTCTGCCATCATTGGATGATGATCCTATGAAGGATTCCTCTGGTGCTGTTATTCTGAATAATGGTGTAGGGAGGAGCACTTCATCTCAAGTAGCAGAACTGACACATCTTCATAGACCCCACCCGCCTCCTGACCACAACCCATCCTCCTTACATTCCCATGATTCACCATCTGTATCTGGTAACAGTGAGCATTCTGTTCGTACAGCTTTGACCCTTGGTAATAATATCTATTTCAGTAGTGCAGAGAGTGAGGGACAGCCTGAGGAAAACCATAACCTAGTGGATGTAAACCAAGGATTTGATGTGACAATGACGGAATTTGGTAATATTGTCAAAAGAAAAGGTGAATCTGGCAATGACTTTATGAATGCAGGCAGTCAGAGTTGGTTGACTTTACCACTTACTGTCAGCTGCTTGGATAATGATGCTGCTGGTAGTAATGAGAGGTTAGGTTTAGAGCAGATTGTAGATGAAGGTGCCTCTGTCTGTCAGGATCATGATAGTATGCCAGATATTGACCAGCGTGGCAGTATTGATATTTTGTCTGGACAGGATCACAGCCTCAAACTATGTGATATCAGTGTGCCTCAAGCAGACCTTTTGGCAACCGAAGAGGGAAATAAGGATGTTGAGGATGAGATTGTTCTCCCAGGTTCTTCTGTTAATTCTGTAGATGTTTTAGATCACAATAGTTATCGCACAGTGGATAAACCTATAGATAACCTTAATAAACCGATTCTCTTATCTTCACAATCTGCTGATGCACCAGGTCAAGAGTTAGCTTCTTCTCAGGTATCTGTTGATTCTGATGACACCTATCATGGAAGTACTGAGGACCCTGTGGGCGTGTCAAGTACAACACCTGATTCGATATCCTCCTGGATTGAAGCCATTGTATCAGAAGCTAAAAAGGATCATCAATCATGCAAATCCTCTCTACTTCCTATCAGTTCTCCAGACAAGGTATCAGCACCAAAGGAGGATAGCAAGAAGGCATTGTCAGATTCAGTAGTCAACTCTGTAGTAAAATCTCCCCCTCGAATTAATATTGCAAGCTCCACAGTATCGAAGGTACCTACTAAACAGGTGGCTTTGCCTGATTCATTGCGAGAGCCCCCTCGCTTAAACCAGAATGCAAGGAACAGGACATGGCGTCGTGGCAATGCGTCATCTTCTAATTCATCATTGCATGTTTCACAGACTTCAGGATTGCCCCCTAAACTCCCAGTAAAAAAGAACAGCAAAAGTGAAAACTCTTATATCCGCAAGGGTAATGCCCTCATTAGAAATCCAGCCACTGGAAATCATCTTCATTCTTCTTCTAGTCTAGATTCTCAAAATAAGTTGAGTAAGCCTGTTATGAGGAGAAGCATGAACTTTGTCAGGAAAGTCGATTCAAAAGACGTAGCACATTCTCATATTTCAGTTGAAAGACCCAAGACCCCACCTTTGCCACTTCACACCAAATCCATCAGTTGTGCTGTGAATGTTTTGGAGCCATTGTCTAAAAAATTGCAGCAACAGGTCCTTGAAACTGAAAAGGAAGATTCCAGTGGGCAGGTTAACTCAGGTGCTGACAATCCAAGCATTATTAGTTCGCACAAGTCTGAAGCCCTTGATGCTGGTAAAGCAATTTATGTTAGACCAAAGTTAAATCAACTTGTTGCTGCACAGGGGCAACATCTTGGCGAGTCGAGTAACATTTCCTTGGATAAGATTATGTTACTGCAGCCATCCGCGACATCTGATCTCTATTTCAAGAAAAGGAAAAATCAGATTATTTTGGGTCCCTCTACTTCTGATGCTCCGAGTTCAAAAGATACATCTCAGGCTGAGAATATAAAGTCAGGTGAGAGTAAAGTTCTAATGTCTGCATCTTCCAACAACAATATCACTGTGGCAAAGGACAGGCCGCACAAAGGTAACATGCTATATAAAAATACTTGTTCATACTTGTTCGGCTGTTCCTTGTACCTTTAACCAAGTTGTTATTTAATTAACATGTCAGCATTCTCTAGTATGCTGGAACTTGTTTGGAAATGACATATAATGTATTTCACGTCTATCGAGGATTCGAGCAAGTAGTTTTGCATGTCTGTCTTTTTTATTTCAGTTATGTTCTTCAGTGTAAGGAACATTAGCTAAATTGAAAAATTGAGAACCATAACTAAATATGAATGATATTATTGCCAAACTATGCATACCTGGTTATAGTCCTATAGATGACCTTTCCTCTTGGTATCCCACTCTTTCACCTTTTGAAGATCGAGACATGAACACCTTTCTCCTGCTTTTTCTATGATGAGTTGATGACTTCACACTGTTTTTCCTACAAGATTTGGTCACTACTTGTCAAACCTTTGTGTAGACAGCATCTTTGTTCTAAACTACATTGCTGCCAGCCTTTTTTTTCCTTTCCCTCTTGACCTATGCTTTCTGAGGGCATGTACTTGGACAATGAAGCATTTGTGTAAATTTTCTAAATGCAGCTCTTCATACAACAAATGCTGTCAGAAGTTTCTCTCATGTCTGGACACTTAGTGGACAAAATCCTCGAAAGAAATCTTTTGTGGGAGCTAGTCATATGAAGGTCTTCCCTCGTATACTTCCATGGAAAAGAAAAATATTCTGCCAGAACTTCAGAGGCAGTTACTCTTCGTTGTTGAATACAAGCTCTATAGGGATAATGAGGTAACCAATACCAGAATGGCCTTAATTTTCCCTTATTCTGTATTGATTCATTCCATTCAATTTGTTAATAGCAAGTCATGATCCTCTATCATTTGTCAGAAAATTATTGCAAACAAAGAAGAGAAGTACTATTTACACCGTCTCTACTGATGGATTCTCTCTTCGGAAATCTGGAGTGTTAAGTATAGGCGGGTCAAGTTTGAAATGGTCAAGGTCCCTTGAGAAACATTCTCAAAAGGTTAATGAGGTATTGAATTCAGAGATGCATAATCTCCCTGATCACTCATTGAGCAATCCATGTGAATTTAGTTTAGTGTTCTAACCACCACTGCATTATATTCAGATGCGGAATTCAATGGAAACATGTGAGGATAGATTTAAATATAACTGCATCTTCTTTTAGCTCTTGAAGCTCAAATATAAATATTATTCTTAATGAATCCCTGTTTTGAGAGTTAACACTTGTTAGACTGTTAGTAGGGTCATGAGAACATATACTAGACTATCTTGTTTCCTAGTTTCATTTGTTAAATGTTATTTCAGAATTAGTAACTTGCATAGTTTCTATGTTTTTCAACACCAAGAACATTATTTTGTTAAGTTCAATGTTTTGAAAAACGTTGTGCGTTGGGCGTGCGCTAGCCTAAAGTTTAGAGTTTAGGAAGTTTAAACGAGATTAAACGTGATTAAACGTTTTTGTTTTTTTATAATTTTTGTGATACTGAGAGCAAAGTCAGTACTAATAACACAACTTGAAGTAATAACAGTGATCATACCTCTTGCTGCACACTTGTTTTCGACATGAGTTCCTTTCCTCCTTGGTTTCTTTCATTGAACAGCAGCTAACAATCAAAGAGAGACAATTTAATAATCTGGAAACAGAAAATTCAAATAATAGGTAAAGAATAGAAACTCATCTATGAGGGTAGCAGCACAAGGCAAAATTGATCTAGCAAACAACAGGGCAGCAGCACAAGAACAGGGCAGCAGCACAAGGCATCAATTCTGGTCAATATTGTACATGACTCCATGTACATCCAAGCTTCCAAACAACAGGGCAGCAGGCAGCAGCACAAGGCAAAATATCACAAGAAAATATACACACAACAGTCACAGCTCACAAATTAAAGATAGTAGTAGGCAGTACAGTACAGTACAACACACAATAATGGTCTTATGGTCCACACACAAATTAAAGATAACTAGATAAGTAGATATTAATATTTAGATAACTTGGCAGCCTACTGCTGCTGCTGCCATCATGCAATCTCCTCAGTCCTCACTCCGCAAATGCATTGCAATTTAGAATTGCTTCTTCATCCTCATCATCCTCATAGGCAATGTCATCATCTTGATAGTCAGGATCTTCAGGATCAGATTCCCACTCTTCTTCATCCACCTCTCTAGCCACTCTTGCACTCCTTCGAGGTTGAAGCTGTTCATTAGTTCCCATTGCATCTCCAAGGACACTCCATGGTATCCCTGTCTCTGGCATTTGTTCTAGCTCATCTTCCTCATCCCTGAAGACAACCAATGCATGATCATCCCCTCCCTCATAGAAAAATCCTTGAGCTTCACAAGCATCACTACTTAGGAGCACTTCATAGTTACTCTTTCTTTTAATCTTCTCCTTGGACATCAATTTATTATTGAATTGGATGAATACCAGAGAGTTGAGGCGCTCTGTTGTCAGCCTATTCCTTCTCTTTGTATGATGCTGTACATTATAAAATACAATTCCAACATCAGCACATGTACATTAAATTGGGAATAGAGAGCAACTAGTGGAGACTACAAACTAACCTGTTCAAATATGCTCCAATTCCTTTCACATCCAGATGAGCTAGAAGTCAGTGAGAGGATTCTAATAGCCATATATTGCAAATCTGGTGCTCCACCTCCATAAAGCCTCCACCAAGATGCTAAAAAATGAAGTCAAATGTCTCAAACATGTGCTGTTTTGATTGCAGAAAATTTTGTATAGAATTAATTGCAGTACAAATTTAGTCAGAAATGATGCAAAAGCTTACCCGGGTTGAACTCGAAGCGTTCGCAGCTCCTTGCCAGCTTCTTTGAGAAGTTTCCTAGTCTCTTCTGGAACTGTTCCAAGTCCACATTAACAGCCCTATATCCCTTGTCATCATCTGTACAGTAAAAGGTCTCCACACACTCCATGAATTTTTCCACTACTGTTGAATCATTGAAGATTGCTGGATTGCTATAACTGTAGTAAGGATTCAGCATATATGCAGCCACATGTAATGGAGAATCAAGCCTATCTTTCATCTTCTTGTCAACAATAGCCATCACTTCTTTGTAGTTCCTTTCCACATTTCCAAATGCCTCCTTGATCTCCTTCTTTGCCTTGAGAAGTTCTCCATACACAAAACCCATAGATGGCTTCACATCTCCATCAACCAAACGTAGAACTTTCACCAAGGGCTCAAAGACCTTCAAACAAAGGGCCACATTTCTCCAAAATTGTATGTTCAACACTGTGTCTGTAGCATCCTTGCCCTTTTTGGTCTTCGCTTCAGGTAAGTCATACCACTTTGAGTCAACCACCATCTTCCTTAGACAATCCTTCTTTTCCATCATACTTTGCAGTGTAAGATAGGTTGTAGCAAATCTGGTTACCCCTGGCCTTATGATTTCTCTCTTCAAGGTGAAGGACCTCAAACATGCCAGGGTCCGGTGGTGACCATAGACAAAGATAGTGAATGATTTTGCTAGATCAATTGTCGTCTTGAATTTTGCAAGGTTGCCAATACCTTGCAGCATCAGATTGATGGTATGAGTTGCACAAGAAGTCCAAAATATGTTTGGCTTCTTGAGGTGCAGCAATGCCTTTGCTCCCATGTTGTTAGAGGCATTATCTGTCACAACTTGCACTACATTTTCAGCACCTACGTCCTCAATTGCCTTGCCAATGAGCTCATAGATAACTTCACTAGTGTGTGACACATCTGACATCTCCACAGACTTGATAAATGTTGTGCCCTCACTAGTATTTGTGCACAGGTTCATAATACTTCTTCTCTTCATATCTGTCCATGCATCAGTCATGATGGAGCAGCCATTCTTAACCTTCTCATCTTCACGGTCTTGTAGCAAGCTCTTCGTTCTTGCATACTCCTCATCCAACAATCTACCCCGATAATCATGCTGAGTTGGAGGTTGGAAACCAGGACCAAATTGACCAATAGCTTCAACCATTTCTTTGAACTCATCATTATCACAAGCATTAAATGGAATAGCTGCAAAATAGAATGGTGCAGAAAATTATAATTGCAGCAGCTAATAATGCATGGATTCGAATAAATAAGAAGGCTGCAGCAATAAGGAATGGTAAATTACTTAAGTACAGAACATACCATGTGTATATACCCATTTAGCAACATATTGCTGCACTTGGTGAGTTCTTTCTTTCCAAAGTGCTTCATTTATGTTCTGTTGCCTCTTAGCTTCAGCACTGCTTAACTTGGGATCAATGGGACGAGTAAATCTGTCCATGGGTCCTAGCTTGTGAGGTGTACTTGAGCTTCCAGCAAGTGACTCAACTTCTGTCACTTCCTCTTCACCTGTTGCAAGTTGCACATTCTCCCTAAGCTCTTTATCACGTTGTTGCTTCCCTTTCTTCTTATTTGCTATTTCATTAAGATTCTGAATGCACTTTTGCTTAACATCATCAGGAACTTTTTGGCACTTCGCAATAGAAGTGCCCCTATGAGCAAGATGCTGCTTAAGGCGATTAATTCCTGCACTCTCATGGCCACAAAGAAGACACTTGACTTTGTTCTTGTCATTGGGATCACAGAGACGCCCCCACTCCCAGCCTATATCAGATGATTTCCTCTTTAGGTGGTTGGCAATATCGGCAGCTTCTGGAGCCGCTGCTGTAGCACCAGCAGCAGCTGCAGCTTCAGAAGCCGACATCCTAATCCCAATCCAAGAACAAGAGTAGAATAATAAGGACCAAGAGTAACAGATCAACACATCAAGGACTAAGGAGCAGTACACATTCAATCTTAACAGGAACAAGAGTAGCATAATAAGGACCAAGACTAACAGATCAATTTCAGTGATTGACATACAGAAATCAAAGGAACAGAGCATGGGAAGATGGGGATTTGGGTGAGACCGAGGGAGCACCTGGAGAGAACGAGTGAGGGGCTGCACCGGCCTCTGTGTTGCTGTTGTCGACTCCTGTCCTGCGCCGGCGGCCTGCCCTCTGTTGCAGTCGAGGGGCTGTGCCTGGACCAGCCTCTGTTGCCGACGGCCCCTGCGCCTGCGGCCTCTGCGCCCGCGAAGGAGAAGGGGAGCCCTAGCAACGACCCCTACGGCCCTACCAACGACGGCGAGGAGGGACCAGGTGGGAGGCGGAAGGAGGGAGGCAGGCGGCGGGAGGTAGGCGGAGGCGGAACTGGAGTGCGACAAATCCCGACTTCGTTTCTGCGGCCGATTTGTGCTCCCGCGTCGGGCCCGCCTGGTGTTTCCCGCGCCCTCCCGCGCTTATTTCCCGCTCGCGTGCCGGACGCTTCCCCGCTCGCGAGCAACGCGTTTTTTGACCGATTACGCGCGATTAATCTCTGCCACGCGATTAAACGAGCGCCTAATCACGAACAACGTTTAATTCAACGTTTACCCCCTAAACGCAACGCTGGGCCAACGTTCAGCGTTTAAACGTGATTAAACGACGTTTAATGACGTTTTTCAAAACATTGGTTAAGTTTATAGAGCTGCTGCCTTGCACAATTTTTGCTTGATCAAACATGCGCAATCTGAAATCTGGATTGCAGGAAGCTTCACAGGCAGTTGCTGAAGTTGAAAGAAAGAAAAGAGAAAAGAGAAAACGGCAGTCTCTCCGTAACAAGGGAAGGAATGGTAATGCATTAGGTATCTTTCGATGGCCATAAGCTAAAATATTATATGCATGAGATACATAACTGTATAATTCCGTGCAATGCAATTGTTCTGTTTTTCATATGACTTTCAATCTTTCATGCTTCCTCGCCTTAAAATTTAATGAGTTGTCAAGTCTAACATGTTCTACTCTTTGTAGTCCAGTTTAAGATTCATGGTTGAATAATTAGTAATTATTCATGATTATGTACCTTGCCATGTTGGAACATTTTGGTTTGGACTAACTATCTTAGAACTATCAGTACCTAGTCTCCTAATTATCATATCTGATTTTTCCATTTCTCACTAGATTTGTGTTGTTTTGACTTATGGTTCATGATTCCCATTTTGTTTTCAGATCGATACTCTGCATCAGTTGCTGCCAATCAATTAACAAATAGCAGCAGAGCATCTTCAGATTCAAGGGTGTCGTCAACTTGCAATGAGTATGCTTCGCACCATGTTGCATTGTATCTTGTATTAGGAATAACAGACAGAATCATGACATCTCTTTCTCTACTTGTCTTTCTATGAGCAGATACGTGCGTGTTAACAAAGGTAACCAACTGGTCAGAAATCCGAAGAAAGTAATCCGCATGCTAGCAAGTGAGAAGGTTCGATGGAGTCTGCACACTGTTAGAAGACTGTTGGCAAAGAAGCAGCAATATTGTCAATTCTTCACTCGCTTCGGCGAGTGTAAAAAATCTGGTGGCAAGTGTCCCTATATTCATGACCGAGCTAAAGTGGCAATCTGTACTAAATTTCTTAAAGGCTTGTGTTCTAGTACTAGTTGCAAACTAACTCACAAGGTAAGATTTCTTCTTGATTCTACTAGTGATCATGGCTTCATATTTTTCCATCATGAGTATCTGTCCTGCAGGTCCTGCCAGAAAGAATGCCAGATTGTTCTTACTTTCTTCAAGGTGATTCATTTCAGTGTCATTGTACCGTTGTTTACTATCCTTTGCAATTGATTGCCTGCTTACATGTATGATTGGCATCGCTAGCAGGGCTCTGTACCAACACAGCCTGTCCCTATAGGCATGTGAAAGTGAACTCGAACGCCCCTGTTTGCGAGGATTTTTTGAAGGGATATTGTGCTGATGGTGATGAGGTATTTATGATATCACTAGAATTATATTGATCTTAATTTTTTGTTCCGCACCTTGCATTGGAGGGTAGGTAGGCACATGATTTCCTATGGAGGTAGCATAAAGCTTGCTTCCACTGGATTGTTAGTGTGAACGATATTTCGTATCAGAATTAATATATGTAGGTTGGTGTCCTTCCTTTGTATATTTGTTCTAACATGAAATGTTTTATAGGACATAGAGTGTCAAAATATCCACCTTTTAGTTTTTTAATTTTGGATAATCTAATTCAGTTGAGTGTTGATTCTTCATAGATAAATAGATCAGAAAGGTTGCCTCCTTTTGGGGGAAACCTATGCTGGAAAAGCATGCTGTCTCTGCTTTAAGTAAAAACACGTCTCTGCTTTAAAACAGAGCTCGTTCATCTTTTAAACTTCTGGGGCCTTAGATGAACCTTTATGGTTCTGAATCAAGATCACTAATCTTTTCATGGACTTGAAACAATCTCTGTTACGAGCAGTGTCGTAAAAAGCACAGCTATGTATGCCCCGTCTTTGAGGCGACAGGAGAGTGCCCACAAGAATCAAGATGCAAGCTTCATCACCCCAAGAAGAAAAACAAATCCAAGAGAAGCAAAGTAGACACCGTCCAAAACAACAGTTGGGGTCGGTATTTTGAGACAAGCATTGGCCATGGCAGTGGAGCAAGGATAGTTTCTTTGGAGGAAGAAGAGAGACAGAAACCAGAGCAAGTCTCTAGTGAGGACTTTGCTGACTTCATTGAACTTGGTGCCGATATTGAAGTCCCTGAAGATGCAGACGCTTCAGATGACATACAGCTGATGGAATTGGACTCAGGGAATCTCGAGATGCAGGCTGACAATCTTGACGCGATAATCAAGCCACTTCGGATCATGAGAACGGCAAGAGTTTGATGAGTTCTTTTGTTGGATACAGCTGCAAAGTTACTGGGTCAGGGAGATATGTTATGCTATGTATGACGAGGCATAGGCGATGACTCGAGTTTCTAATTCTTGAAGACTGGTTCTGACGGGCCGTCAGTTTTTACTTGGTTGAAGGTTTGATTTTGTTCATCTTGTACATCTCTTAGGAAATATACAGGGTCCATATGGCAGTGGTAGAGGCCATGAGGGTTACTGGCTGTTAACCTGTGTTTTTTGAACATTACCCAGAGTTGAATGTAACAAACAGTGCTTTACAATAGCATAGAGGAAATAAAGGTTTCGTTTTGTGTATATTGCGCTGCACATCTTTTGGTTATAAATTCTGCCTTTAGACACATTTTGATGATGTGCATACAAAGAAACTTGCTCCCTGGCGGTAAAAAAAAACATAATCTGGAGCTGGAACCAGGTTTCCAACCTGACAGCAATGTGGTATTCTGTGAGGCAGCTTTCGTATGTTTGGAAGCTGTCATTCAAACTTACAGACTAGGCTCTTAGATCGATTTAAGCTCATATGGTTCAAAACGAGCGGAGATCTATGGATACAATAGATCCGTATTGGACTACAATAAAAAAAACAATAAAACTGGTGATATACTCTTCAGGTCAGGAGGATTTTGCGGACACGCTCATGCCGGTTTTGGCACTGGGGCAGCTTCTGTTTGGGTCAATGTTACAGACCGCAGTAGCTCCATTGAGCTGGATATCCCAAGGAAATGTGATAGGATCGTGTTGGCTGAAGCCTGTAGATGATAGAAACAAAAGGCAAGAAAACGATGAGTGCTCTTGTATCAGTAATAACGTAGCGAAAATACCAGTTATATTGAATAAATAATAGAAATGGACTGCCACAATGCCAAACAAACATAGTAATACCAATTGGACTAACATAAATTGAATTTTAAAAATTAATGGAGGTCTAGAGCTTTAGTTATGATGAGAATTAGACACTAGCTATTGGAAATAATATTGGTTTTCAGTTGTGGACCCATGTTCCAATATTTGTGTGAAGATAATCTATGCCAGACTACACAAAACAAACTTTCCCATTAGAAAGAAAGCATGAAATGCCGACATAAGCTATTCTTACTGTAAACTAAACACACATGAAAACAAAAATAAACAGTGGCATACCTGAACAAGAAAGATATCTAAAGCAAGAACGGGACTCTGTCCAGGGGATATTCCCTGGTAGTAGGGCACTGCTGAGGTAGTGAGTGCTTTGCCTACCAAAGCACCTACAGTTGCCTGCAGGCCAAGAACTGCAGCAGCCATTCCAACAACATTAAGCACGATACTGTTTCTCAGATTCTTAACCACATCCGCACGTGGAGGAGCCTGAAAAAGGAGAAAACGGTTTTAGTTTTGGCTCGGAAGTATGTCTACAGCATTTTAGCAAGAGCACCACACTAAAGTAAGATAACAGAATTGTCCGTAGGAGTTTGGTTCCTATTTTTATTTAGCTTGAATCAGAAATATATTCCAGCCACTTTACTTCCAGAAGATTTAGCGAAATACGTCAAATAGATACAAATAATGTGCTGATGGGTGCATGATCCAGATGAGGACATGAAGCAGCTGTCGACAGGTGGAAGATGGTGCGAATATCCAACCTGTTCGCTTGTTGGTTTCAGCCAGGGCTTATCAGCCATGGTAAAGTATTTTCCTCTCACAACAAACCAGCAACAGCCGGGCTTATCAGCCCAGAAACCAACCAGCGAACCGGCTCATCATAGGTTCAGTGGTGTACAGCAGAAATATTTTGTTCCACGGAGAAAATAAAATAATGCTGCAGCTTTACAACTATTTTAGGCGATGGAAGTACCTTAGAAGGTTCATTCGCTGTTCTTTTAAGCCTTTCAGAAAGGCGGATATAACCATATGACTGGAAGACTGAGATGAAGGCCATGACGATGCCAACTGCAGTTGCACAGAATGTGAAGGGAGATGTTACATTCCCTGTAGCAACCGCAGAGAATGACAGAATCCCAGCCGAAACAAATGTACACACTAACTGAGACCAAAACCCCAGGGTACCCAAATTCTTAAAATGCCGTGCTGTTTTCTCTAGTTTTTTGCTAACCTGCAAAAGAAAGGTAAATACTGATTGGCTAATACTTGAGAATCATAGTATCCATTCTTTCGCAAAAAAAAGAGAATCATAGTATGCATAGTAAATGTATGTTGGGAGCATGAGTGCTGGAATCATAGTATGCATAGTAATGTATTTTGGGAGCATTAGTGTTGGTAGATCCCAGTGACTATATGATGGAGAGAAATAGCTTAGGTGCCTGACAATCTAGAAATACCACCATGTTAAAGTTTATTTAGGAAACAACTCTCTTAAAGTCTGACAAGCCGGCCTTGGCTGATTTGTTGTGAGAGAAAACTAGCTGATAAGCCCGCTGATAAGTTCAAGCGAACAGGCCCTTAACCAGGTTACTGTATATGCTAACAGTCGAGTAACAGAAGATAGTACCTCATAGTTGACACATGAGTGTTGGTAGATCCCAGTAACTATGTGATGGAGAAAAATAGCTGGGGTGCCTAACAATCTAGAAAGATCACCATGTCCAAATTTATTAGGAAACAGCTCTCTTGGAGTCTGACAATTTAACCAAAAGTTACTATACGCTAACAGTCTGAGTAACAGAAGATAGCACCTCATAGCTAACACATGGATATGGAAAATATTACAGTAACACAACTTCAGAAATCATGAACTAAAGATACCACAGTTTACATGAGATTTTGGTAGAACTAAATGTGATATCTGAATATGGTAAAACCAAACGATATCACATCTCTTCCGATAAATGGACTACAAGGCAATGTATCAACAAAGTTGGACTACAAGTCTTTATTCTTTAATATTGATGATCGAATTCTAAGGTTGCACTTCATTCCATCACACCAGCCTGTAGAAGGCATTTGGTTGCTTCTAGCTTCCTCCAAAGACCAAAGCAGAGCAGTAGCAGAAGAAGAAACTACCACGGCATTGCTTATATTTTCTTTCCCTGTGCATTCGCTGATGTACTCTACTAGCTCTCTCAAATAGTCAAAATATCAGAACCTCATTGCTCAATTGTTGCAGCAACCAGAAACAACGAGCACGTGGTTGCAAGAAACCCAACCTCCAGGACACCTGACTACAACTCTAACTGTCCTTATCCGGACACTAGAAATCCTGGCGGTACGGCTACTGAAACTCAACACATCAACGGAGTGGGCGGGTGAAAGGCACCTGAGCCAGCTTGGCGCGTTCGGCCACATCCTCCGCGGAGAGAGGGCCGGGGTCAGACTCGGCCTCCGCAGAGAGAGGGCTGAGGTCAGGAGGACTGGATGCCGGCGCCCCAGCCCCTGCAGCCGCGGCGGTGAGGTGGCGCGGCGAAGAGATTCGGCCGGCGGCATAGAATGAGGTACCACCGACAGCAGCCGCACGACTGGGAGCGGAGAAGTGGGGCGCCGGCGCCGGCGCCGAAGCCACGGCAGAGGACACCGGTCGCCGCCTCAGCGTCGGGAGGGGCGGCCTTGGCGGCGCCGGGGAGACGTGGAGCGACTGCATTTGCGATTTGTGTTGTGTGGCGTTCGGGCGGTTGCCGGTCACGGGGGTTTCCCACTCATTCTTTGCTTGGGGAGTGGCTTTATAAAAAGTTTTTTTTTATCTATACCATTACAATTTTAAAAGTTTGCAATTCACTGATTCAAAGAACTGCCATTATAATTTTATCAGGAACGCGTATGGATGTTAAATCCCCCGTCTCCTCCGTTAGAACAAGCCCGCCCGCAGCAGAGGAGCGCTCGCTTGCGGCGGCCTGCGCGCGAGGCGGGTCTGCAAGGTGATGCGCATCCCAGGATGGTGTCTGTCGGGTGCCAGAAGTTGTCCCAGAGGTGGTGTTGGCCTTGCGGGCCCGCCCGCGAGGTGGGGTTGGAGGATGAGAGCAGGGGCGCCGCGACAGCCGCGTCGAGGACGCGGAGCTCGCTGGTAACGGTGAGCGTCAAGGACAACGGCAAGGTCGAGGTGGCCGGTGCGACTCTGCTCGCCCGCCGCCGCAAACACATACCCACTCCAAATCCCAGAGTCTCAGTGCCAGGAGGGAATATCAATGAGACATGAATCATGAATGTTGTCCGCGACGACCTCATGCTGCAATGCCTCACCCAATCCCCGAAGAGCAAACTTGCTCGCTGAGTACGCTGCCCGACCCGCACGTCGGCCGCGTGGATGCCAACATCGTTGCAGCCCGAGTCGGCTGGATGGCGGCGCGCGCCTCCTCGAGGCGGGCGAGGTTACGGGCCAGGATGGAGATCCGCGCCGCGGCCGTGGCCATGGCGAGCCCGATGCCGCTGGACCCGCCCGTGATGCATGGCCGGCCCTGAGGGCGGGCAAGCCGGGCGGCTGCTCTAGGCCTCCAATCCCACGGGGCACCACCTGTGGGGGTCGTTGCTATATTGCCACCGTGAGGTCCAGGAGCGCACGTAGCAACTCTTCTGTAGAATCTTTATGTTAAGTTATACATATACATGATACTAGGCTCACCGGACAACTCAATTACATACATACTCTAGTCTCCAACACATGACTAAAACATCATTGACTATAAAATAAGTTTTAAGACGAAAACTACTACTAGCACTAACATTCTACCTATTTACTACCTTGAATCTAAGTTACATCTCATTTCACTCGTCTACTCATCGTGTTACACGCAACTCATCTTGAGGAACTTTCAAGATCTACTAACCGTGGCATTCATCAGAGCTAGTCTCGGAGAAAAACCTTATCAACCTACAAAACAACTTAACGGCAGCACCATGAGTACATTTCGTACTCGTAGGACTTAATTCCAACATATAGATATTTGGTGGATGCAAAGGATATTAATAGGTGTTTGTATATTTGCAGAAAAGCACATGGCGTTTATTAAGAGTATGTCATGCTATGCTCCAATACTTAAGACAAGAGTGGT